GGTTTCTCCTTATTATGCTTATATTTTCCCCATAGTTCTTTTAACATATTTACAATATAAAGACACTAAATCCTTGTCTGCTAATTCCATTATCTCTTATTCTGAGTTTTTTTTTTTTTGGACTAATTTTCTTCTTTGTCACATTTCTTTATAGTTAGTGGTTTGGTTTTTTTCTCTTTGGTCTTTTTTTTTTTATAGTTAGTGGTTTTTAATTGGATATTTCACATTTTGATTAATACTTAGTGTCTCTTTGTTGTTGTTGTTGTTTTAAATTAGAGATGGAGTCTTGCTACATTGCCCAGGCTTACTGCAAACTCCTGGGCTCAAGCGATCCTTACCACCTCGCCCTCACAAAATACTGGGACTACAGGTGTGAGCCACTGTGCCCACCTGTGTCTGGATTTTTAAAAAACTTTTAATTTAAAAATAATTGTAGATTCACAGGAGTTTGTACTGGGAAGTCCTGGACATCTTTCCCCCAGTCTCCCTCAGTGTTCACAATTTGTGTAGCTATATTACAACATCAAAACCAAGAATGATATTGGTACAATGCTTAGAGTTTATGTGGACTTCATCAGTTTTACATTTACGTGCATGTGTGTGTGCCTGTGTGTAATTCTGTGCAATTTTGTCTCATGGGTAGTCTTGTGTAATTATCCCTACAATCAAAGATACTCAGTGGTAGCATCACCAGACTCCTTTGTGCTACCCTTTATGGCCATGTTCATCCCCTCCCCCGTCTGTAATCCTTAACAACCATTAATTGGTTCTCCATTTCCATAATTAGATTATTTCATAATTGTTGCATGAATCATATTATGCAGGTAGTATCTTTTGAGATTGACTTTTCCACTCAGCATTATTTTTTTGAAGTTTGTACAGATTGTTGTGTTTATCAATAGTTTGTTCCTTTTTATTACTATATTCTATCCTATTGTTTGGATATACCACAGTTTAACTGTTTGTATTTTTTTAAAAAAAGTATGGAGTTTTGTTTTGTTAGATAGTTGAGCAAGTTGTGGATCAGCTTGACCCTTTTGAGCCTTGTTTTTAAGCTTTGTTAGGATAGGTTTGAAGTAGCTTTTATTCTAGGAATAGTTTGTTCCTATTTCCAGGGAGCGGCTTTTCTGGGTTCTCTATTAAATGACAACAAAGTCTGTCTTCTGTGCTTGATCAGATCTTAGATGTATCCCTGTCTCTTGCAAGATCCAGTAGTTGGTCAACTAACAGCTCGCCAATAGTTATTTTTTGGCCCACCTTTGTAGAGTCTCTCTTTATGCATCCATGATAGTATTGAGCCAAAGACTACAGTTGAACACCTGTGCAGATTTCTGGAGTTCTTTCTCATTGTTGCATGTTCCTTTTTTCTTAAATCATAGTCCTTCACTGCTTGTTGTCTGTTGTCTGAAAGCAGTTGTTTCATTTATATAACTGAAAAGTTGTATTTTTCAGGTTGATAGGCAAGTCCAGTAATGGTTTCTCCACCATTGTACGCAACAAACCTTTTTGTTTATTTCCAAGTTAGTAGTTTGAAAGTCAGAATTGATTCATCTGTCCAAAGAGCAGTAGTTTTGTTTTGTGTCTTAAGGTGTTATTTTAATTTACATTTTATTTTTTGAATAAGAAATATGTTCATATATTTTAAAATTTAAATGGCACAAAAGATATACAATGAGGTATCCTCCCCTCTCTTATTTCCCAGTCACCCACTTTCCATTCTTGTGGACAACCATTGTTATTAATTTATTGTGTATCTGTCAAGAAATTTGATGCACATTCTGATAACGTGTATCTTCCTCAGAAATTCTCTACACAGAACTGTATCTTTCTTTTTTTTTGTACCTTTTTTTTTTTTTTTTTTTGAGATGAAATCTCGCTCTGTTGCCCAGGCTGGAGTGCAGTGGCACGATCTCAGCTCACTGCAAGCTCTGCCTCCCCTGGGTTCACGCCATTCTCCTGCCTTAGCCTCCCAAGTAGCTGGGACTACAGGCGCCCGCCACCACACTCAGCTAATTTTTCGTATTTTTGGTAGAGACGGGGTTTCACTGTTTTAGCCAGGATGGTCTTGATCTCCTAACTTCATGCCTCGGCCTCCCAAAGTGCTGGGTTTACAGGCATGAGCCACCACGCCCGGCCTTTCTTTCTTTTCTTTCTTTTTTTTTTTTTTTTTAACTTAATATTACTTAGAGATCTATGATTTGATTACGTGTAAATATTTTATATTTTTTTCAACTTTGTAGTATACAGTTATATGGATATACCCATAAATATGATTATGTACCATAAGTAAATTAACTAGTTCTGTTTTTATTAATCATTTACTGTTTCAAACAGTGCTAACGTGAATAATCCTTCTGGGATATTTTCCAGCACCAGCACCCAGTTCTCTGATTCTCCGGACACCAAGTGGGTGTTCAACAATTCAGTGTAATTCAGTTCTCACAGTAAATATCTGGAGCTAGTGCAGACCCAACAGCTTAAGGGCCCATTCCTACAACACTGCTTTCCACTTCAGACACCATTTGTAAGTCCTGGGCCACCTGTATTTCTGACCACCTGCTATAAATTGGGGGTTCCCTCAGCCTCCTCCTAAGGTTAGCTAATTTGTTAACCTGGCTGACGGAACTCAGGAAAACAGTTTACTTACTCTTGCTGATTTTATTATAAAGGATACAACTCACGATCAGCTAAATGGAAGAGGTGCATGGGAATGTGGGAGGCAGCGCAGTTTCTATGTGCTCTCTTGGTGCACTACTCTCCAATCAACTCAGGGTGTTCACCAGCCCTGGAAACTGATCAGATCTCATTGTTTAAGAGTTTCTGTAGTTTAATCTCCTGTCTTTCCCACCTTACTTTCTGGGGTGGAGTCAGTGGCTAGGGCTGAAATTCCAGTGCTCTTATAATTTGATCTTTCTGGTGACCAGCTGTATTCCAAGGTCACCTAGGGGACCCACTCTAAGCCACCGCATTAGCATAAACTCAGATGTGAGTGAAATAGACTCATTATGAATAAGAGTGAAGAGACACCTATCACTGAGGATATTCCAAGGGTTTTAGTAGCTCTGTGCCAGGAACTGGGGACAAAGCTCAAATAGATTTGGCCCTCTACATCTGTGGATTCAGTCAGCCTTGGATTGAAAATAATTCACATGGTAGCATCTGTACTGAACATGTACAGAATTTCTTCTTTGTCATTATTCCCTAAACAATACAGTATAAGAACTATTTACATAGAATATACACTGTATGAGGTATTATGAGTAATTTTGAGATGATTTAAAATATATAGGAGGATGTGTATATACAAATACTGTACCATTTTGTATAAGGGACTTGAGTATTTGTAGAATTTGGTATCCTTGGGGGTCTTGTAACCAATCCCCCGTGGATACTGAGGGACGACTTTATATTTCTTTCTCTCTCTCTTTTTTTTTTTTTTTTTTTTTTTTTTTTGAGACAGAGCCTCACTTTGTCACCCAGGCTGGAATGTAGTGGTATGGTCTTGGCTCACTGCAACCTACCCCTCCCAGGTTCAAGCAGTTCTCCTGCCTCAGCCTCCCCAGTAGCTGGAACTGGAGGTGCAAGCCACCATGCCTGGCTAAATTTTGTATTCTTAGTAGAGACAGGGTTTCATCATGTTGGCCAGGCTGGTCTTGAACTCCTGATCTCAGGTGATCCACCCGCCTCAGCCTCCCAAAGTTCTGGGATTACAGTCGTGAGCCACTGCACTTGGCTCGACTTTATATTTCTTATGCCACATTCTTTGTAGTATGGAAGTAATTTCACTTATGTGCAAGTATATATAAGATAAATTTCTAGAAGTGGAATTCTTGTATCAAAGGCTATGTGCATTTGTAATTTGGATTTTTTTTAACCCGTTTTCCCGCCATATTGTACAAATTTATTCATGTCACAAATGTGTGAAGTGACTGTATGTTTCCCCATACAACTTAATGTGTTACAAATTTTTATTATTAAAAAAAACAAGGTTCTTATAGTACTCTGGAAAACATATATATGTAAAAAAAGAACATAATATTTTGTTGTAATTGTCAAAAAAATTGAGTAGAAATTCCATTATGTTCAGACTTCTATAGCAATTGTAAAAGACTTGATACACTTTTAAGAGTTGAGTAATGTTAGCTAATTTGTTGCCATTTTATCATATATCTCCAATGTGCCAGGTACTGTGTTATGACTTTATATACATTATAATCTCTGATATTTAAAGTAATTTTACAAGATATATAGAATTTATTACCTTTATTTCACAGACAGGAGTCTGAGCTAGTAAATTCTAGGCTTAAGATTTGATTCCAATTTGATTCTAAATTCTAGATTTTTGTCGTATCTTCAATTAATTTTACTTCAGTATTTTGATCTTTCCCTTTTTTTATGTAGAGGAGTAAAATTCCTCTGATTTCAGCCATTATCCTGGTCTTTCAGGGTTCCCAAATTGAATTTAGGAAGATTTATGTTATTTGCAACAGTTAGAAGCCCCAGGGTAAAACAAAGCATACACACTTGTCTTTCTGAGAAGAGATGTTAAATACCCAATATATATTGCTGCTTTCGTATATACTTTCTTATTTGACTTGTAGAAAGTAGGGGAGAATAGCAAAGCTACAGAATTACTAGAGAGAGAAGACAGGCAGTGGTAAATAATAGTAATTGGGTCAGGAAGCCTGTTTTAGTCTCCAAGTAACTCAGTTGCTCTTTGAATATCTTGTTTTACTATGTGAGAATCACTCTATAGGCATTTGTTTTTAATATCCTAGACAGTTACTGTTTAATTTATCTTATTAGAGTCCTACCACAGCTACTAAGTTGACTTTTAGAGCAGAATGTTTATTTAAAAATCTTGGTCAGTCAGCATATTTCACAAATAGACAAATTTCATAACAGTCCACATTTTGTAGACTTTTAAAAATAAAAAATAATTGTTTAAAATTTGGATCTTTTTAATTTCAGTTTTTCCCCCTTCCCATCCCATTTTACAGACATTTCAACCTACGAATGAAGAGGGACACTTCCCTTTTCAGTGATGAATTTAAAGTAGAAACATCAAATAAAGTACTTGATTATGATACCTCTCATATTTACACTGGACATATTTATGGTAAGTTGGACCTAACAGAACCCTTTTCTTTCATTTTTTTTTTCTACACAAAGATACTTATTTTGAAGTGTAAGCAGATATTTCAGAAAAGGTTATAAATCCAGAGGAGATTGAAGTCATCATGAAGGGTCTTTGAGAAATGAAGTAATGTTTGAACCTATCTTTACATGTATGTTTAATAGTGAATTATGAAATATCTGGCTTCTGAAAGGTATGAAATTTTGACTCAGTACCTTTAAACTATTAGAATTTTAAAAAATTTTAATGACTTCTATAATTTTCTGATTTTCCAAGTAAGAAATTAATAGTAACTTTGCTGTGTTTTATAAGAAAACAGGAAAAATCTAAAAGGAAGCAGTAAAGATTATCTTAGCCAAAGATAATGTAACAAAGTTATCTGTAGGAAAGTCCTCCCAAGGCCCTTCTTCCTCAGAATCTATTTGCTTTATTCACAGTTCTAACAAATTTTTCTTACTGCATCAAATTAAAAGTGCATATTGGGGAGCGTCAGTGGCACACTTAACCCAATAGAAAGTTACATCTACTAGTAGTGTTGAAAGAACAGAACAATTATAGAAATCATAAAAAAGCTTAAAAAATGAAAATCTTCTGGGGGCGTTGAAGAGAGGCAAAATGTCATTGTTTTGTAACTGTATATTAATAAGTATTCAAGATGATTCTCAGTTAAGACGGTGTTGAACTGTTTGAGATTATTTCTACGTGAGTGGTTTCTACTGAAAATAATAACATGAAAAATTAAGTGCTTAAAGAATTTTTTCTCATTTTTTGATTGTGCCAGATGAGGCATTTCTATTGTAGAATAAACCTAATAAATTCTTTAGCTTTTTTGTACTCTTACAATTCTGTAACCAAAATAAAGCATTTTTCATCAGTAGATTTTCAATGTCAAACCTTAGTGTTCTATTATCTTCTTGATTATTTATCTTGCTGGGCAAATAACTTAGTAGTTCCTGCCCTTTTTTGCTAGGTGATGAGATCAAGAAAAGTACAAGGCTGTAAATGAGTTTGCAGATAAAAATCATGTTATTTAGGTCAGGCATGGTAGCACTCACACCTGTAATCCCAGTGCTTTGGGAGTCTGAGGCAGGAGGATTGCTTAAGACCTGGAGTTTGCGACCAGCCTGGGCAATATAGTGAGACCTTTTCTCTAAAAAACGTAAAAAAAATTAGTTGTGGTGGCAAACCCGTAGTTTCAGTTAGATGGGAGGCTGAAGTGGGATGATTGCTGAGCCCAGGAGGTTGAGGCTACAGTGAGCTATGATTGTGCCACTGCACTATAGCCCAAGCGATAGACAGAGCCCCTGTTTCTTTATTTAAAAAAAAAAAATACTTAAAATACCAGTGTCTTGGGCTTTTACCTCCAGTCTATGATTAATGCAAAGGCAACTAATTAATGTTATTCTACAACTTAGAAATTGTGGAAGGCCTGATTTTTATTTTAATGAGAGAATTGTAATGGGTAAATTCAAGGTTTAAAGCCCTCTCCCTCTACTTTCACCCTTTATGTCATTTGATTTTGGTGCTCACCTTTTCATTGTGATTATATTAAAAACGAAAAGTACCTTTTTTCCTATTATTTCCTTTCACTGGAGAAGTATAATTGATGGGATAGTATTACAAATTTTTGTCCTATATCTTTAAAAGTACTATTGGTATAGTTTTGTTCAAAGTTCCTCTGAAATATTTGTCACTGTTCTGTTTAAAAGTGTATTTATAGGCTGGGCATGGTGCCTCACGCCTGTAATCCCAGCACTTTAGGAGGCCGAGGCAGGTGGATTGTTTGAGCCCAGGAGTTCCAGACAAGCCTGGGAAGCATAGCAAGGCCCTGTCTCTATCAAAAATACAAAAATTAGCTGGAGATGGTGATGCACGCCTGTAGTTCCAGCTACTAGGGAGGCAGAGGTGGGAGGAGTGCCTGAGCCCAGGAGGTTGAGGCTGCACAGAGCCATGAGCTTGTGTCACTGCACTCCAGCCTGGGTGACAGAGCAAGACCTTGTCTCAAAAGCAAAACAAAACAAAACAAAACACAAAACCCCTAAGCATAGCGCAGAAGCCAAAAGGCCTGGCCCATTTGCAATATATCGGATGGGAAAGGAGGTTTTTTCCTTGTGGTACCTGTAGCAAAATTTTCAAAAGATGCTTTGGATGTCTTTATTCTGAAAGTGTGTATTTTATCAGTAGGTTTGCTTGCTTTCTTTTAAGTTTAAATTAATTTAACTATTAATTGTTTTGTTTGTTTTGTTTTGTTTTGTTTTGTTTTGTTTTGAGACAAGGTCTTGCTCTTGTCACTCAGGCTGGAGTTCAGTGGTGCCATGTCACCTCACAGCAACCTCCACCTCCAGGGTTCAAGTGATTCTTCTGCCCCAGCCTCCTTAGTAGCTGGACTTACAGGCATGTGCCACCAGGCCCAGCTAATGTTTTCTGTGTTTTTAGTAGAGACAGGGTTTCACTATGTTAGCTAGGCTGGTCTTGAACTCCTGATCTTGAGTGATCTGGCCGCCTCGGACCCCCAGAGTGCTGGGATTATAGGTGTGAACCACACTGTGCCGGGCCAATTTACAGTTGTTGATGACTATTGCATACATGCTAGGCACTGAGCTAGATGCAAGGAATGTGGTTGGTAACAAGGCAGATACTCTATTTTTCATTGCTGTTATTAGTAGTTGTATATGTTTTAACTAAATACCAGTTGCTGTTCACATTTCACATTCTGCTTGATATATTTTATGTGAAAATTTCCATGGTAAATTTATATTCAGGAATTAACCATATATATGTGTATATATGTATGCATGTGTATATATACACACACACGTATATACACATATATATGAACAAATTTAACATTCATGTGCAAATTAAATTGTCAAGAATTTGTTGCTTTCATTAATAGGTGAAGAAGGAAGTTTTAGCCATGGGTCTGTTATTGATGGAAGATTTGAAGGATTCATCCAGACTCGTGGTGGCACATTTTATGTTGAGCCAGCAGAGAGATATATTAAAGACCGAACTCTGCCATTTCACTCTGTCATTTATCATGAAGATGATATTAGTAAGTACTTAAATTTTATCAAGTAGCCTTTTTCAAAAGGCATATAATAGTTAAAACTATGTGGAGACAAATGAAGCATTAGCTGTTGTCTTTCCTGAGTTACTAATCAGGCTAGAACATAGTTTTTACTAGCAATTGCTATTTAAGGAATAGTAGATATATGTAATGAGGCAATTTCCTTGTCAATCCATTGCCGGTACTACTTCGTTGATATGACACAACTAATTCTGTTTGAACTGTGTGAGTCAACCAAATCTGACTGAACTGGAAATTGTATATTTTGACATCAGCCAGTCTGTGTAATGCTAATACCTTTGTGTGTGTGGCCTACTGAAGGTAGAAGAGCATCATTACTTCTTATGTAAATTTCAATGTGGGTATTTGTGTAGTATTTAAGGAATATTTTAGGTATTTTTGTAATTTTTAAGTCCATTGAGTATTTCTTTTTAGAATCTTAAAGTAATGACTTGACCTTAAGAGTCCAACTTTATCATGGATTTTGTTCTCTGCCATCTTTATATGATAATATTTTTCTGTTTTAAGAATAGAAAATGTATTTAGACTTTACCTTTTAATTATATTGTCCGTATATCCACAGTTATCCAGTTACTGGAAATGCTTCTTTGAAGTACCACAGAAATACATTTCTCTAATTTATATAGCTCTTAAATACCCATTTATTATTTTTTGACTGTAATTAGACTATTCTCTCAATTTTTGCCTACTTTCCTAACTCGGCAGCTTCTTCCTACGTAAGTTTTCCTTTGCATAGACAGGAATTTATCGTCAATGATTTTATTCTCACCTCTAGTAATACACTGACAAGCATTAACCATTTTGACTTTTTGCTCCATCAGCTCTAACAGTTTCTGTACTTCATCTGTCCAACTGCTCATTATCTCTGCTGCTAGATTACTATAGAAAATAGCATACGTATTCTAGGTAGGATGCATTTATGATTTTTAGCTACTTGTTAAATCATAAGCTTATCGGTGCCACTTGCCTGTATTTTCATTCATCTCTATTTGATTCCTTTTCCAGTTTTAACTCCTGGTATTTCAAACTCTACCTTTCTTTTCAAGCTCTAAGCTATCATTCTCCTTCATAAGTAGGAATATGCATTCCTTTGCTTTCTTTTCTTTCTGCTGACAAAATTATTATTTACCTGGTTTGTGTCTTGCTTTGTAATTTCCTTAGTAATTTAACCTTTTTTTGCAAGGTTACCTCCCCTGTCAGGGTATGTAAGTTCTCCAGATATAGTTTCTGTTTCTTTTGCTCCTTTAATTCCAGGTATAATTTTTCTGTGCAGCAGGCTTTTCATAAATACTTAATGAAATATTGGAATATTTTTCTAGAATGTTTTATCAAAATCAAGTAAAACCTTTTGAGGAAGGAAGGAGAGGAAAAGAGTAATCTGCCAGAATATTTTTTCCTTTCTATCATATTGTAATTATACTTTGTCCATTGCTTTCTGCTTCCTATCAGTGCCCTCTACTGTATTTGTTCTGCCTGTTTTGACTTTGGTTACTGTGCCTGTCTCTCGTTTCCTTCTTCTGTTATCTACTTGAGTGTAGTTTAAGAATATTATTTTTTTCCACTTTTATTTATTTCTTGTAATATAATTGTATTTTTCACATATTGCTTCCAACAGTAATTTCCAAATATCTTAATAGGTGTCAATCTTTTTTTTCCCCCAAAGATGATGAGTTAGCTTGGAGGATGAATGACACTGCATGTTACTTGATTTTTTGTTCTTTTTGGCGTTTAAATGCTTTACCATTGATACCAGCTTTTATTTTATACTTGTTTAAGTAAATATATGTTTGTGGTAAGGAGACCTTTTTAACGTTCTTTTTATTATTAAGTATCAATGGTGGTGTTAGAATTTAAAAGCAGCCATCTTTAAGGTGATTTTATTTGTAACTTCTCAGGTAATTGGAATTGTAGGATGTGAGGATGGAAGTACAGAAGGAATAGCCTTAAACAGAGTTTTTAACGTTTACAAATTTAGACAATTGCTTTTGAAAAACTATCTAAAAATCTGTCAAGTGAACCATGGTTTAAGACAAGAAAACATCCATGTATTAGTCTTTTAGTCTAAATAGTTGCTATATTTATATTCTATACCATGGTTGGGAAATTCTCTGCAGAGGGACAGATAGTAAATGTTTTTGGCTTTGAGAGCTGTATGTTTTATTGCAGCTACTCAGCTCTGCCATTGTAGCACAAGAACAGCCAAAGAAATACATAAATGAATAAACATGGGCTTTAAAAAAATTATTATTTATCTGTCTATTTTTTTGGAGACAGAGCATTGCCCTGTTGCCCAGTCTGGAGTGCAGTGGTGTGATCATAGCTCACTATAGCCTCAACCTCCTGAGCTCAAATGATCCTCCTACCTCAGCCCTGTAAGTAGCTGGGACTCCAGGCATAAGCCACGGCTCCCAGCTAGCATGGCTGTTTTTAATAAAACTTCATAGACACTTAAAATTTTAATTTCATATATTTTTCATATGACATAAAATATCATTCTTTTGAATAAAAGAATGATAATAAATTCTTTTTTCTTTAACCATTTAAAAATGTAGAAACTACCCTTAGTTTTCATGTCAAACAAAAACAGATGGGAGGGCTCACTAAATTTAATAATTACTTTAATTGGTTCTTTAAATTCTCTGTGTAGAATATGACAGGTTCTAGAAGTAGTAGCAGGAGCAATAGTAAGAGTAACTATTATGGCTTAATGTATACCTGACACTGTATAAAAATCTTTACTTGCATTATTGAATTGAATTCTCACAATAACCTTATGAGATACTGGCACACCTATTATTCCCACTTTATAGGTGAAGGCTTAAACTGAGGCTTAGAAAACTTTTGTCACTTGATTGTGGACCTCCTGTTCTTTACCCTGTGCTCTTCTGCTTCACTCATGGAAGAAAGCTGTAAATTCTCACTGCCTTTACTTCAAGGATTTCTGGGGCTTTTCTGAAATCTGTAAGCCTCTCTAAAATCATACATTTGCATCTATTGCTGTTTTAAGCCGATATATCTCTCTTTAATATATTTAGTAGTGTTTATTTTATAACTAACAGGGAAAGGATGCCCTTTAATGTATATTATTATTTTTATATAATTGGTTTAAGTACCAATAATTTATTTTCAGAAGTAAAGTACTGCATGATTGTATCACTGTGAATGTTCTTAATTGAATTTGGTATCCTTGTATGTGTTATCCTTATCAAAAAGAAGCAAATGGTAGGGGAGGCATACTAACCTTGGATATAGCTTCTGGTGAGAATTTGGCTACCCTCTTCTTACGACTGTTGTTGCAACTGAAGGCATAAATGTATAGAACCACCATGAAAAATGATACTGCTGTTCTCCAGAACCTTGGGGAACGGCTTCTGAGACTGTACCAGAACACAGAGATAGTTTTCAGTGAAAATACTTAATAATTCCTCTAGATGTGATCGTGATAACTACATATTGTTATCAGCTTAAAATGCATACTTATTTAATTCTGTACTTAGGTAGTAAAAAACACTCTCTCCTAGGACGTGGAAGTGTGAACAGTTAATGACAAGGTAAGAATACCACTTAGTCCTCTGCTCCTTAGCACAGTTTATTTTAAAGAAACTGAGAAAAACTGTTCCGTAAACTAGAATAGTGTTGTTATTAACATGAACAGGTTTTAGGAATATCTGACTATATGATTGCTTGGAATTATTAGTTGTAATAATTCCCTTGTACCTTTTTTGTATACTACCTATCCAAGAGCTAAAGGTCTGAGTAATTTTTGTATGCTATACTTATAGAGAAATACTTTATCTCCAAATTAAAAAAATATATTTTAATTGTATATTAAAAGCTGTAGAATAAGTTATTTGGGTTTATTGCTTTTATTTCAAATTTATTATTTATTTTCCTTTGTGGGGTATAGGAAAGCCCAGAGAGGTTGAATTTGCCTCTGTCACCCAGGCTGGAGTGCAGTGGCGCCATCTTGGCTCGCTGCAACCTCCACCTTCTGAGTTCGAGCAATTCTCCTGCCTCAGCCTCCCAAGTAGCTGGGACTACAGGCGTGCGCCATCACGCCCAGCTAATTTTTGTATTTTTAGTAGAGACAGGGTTTCACCATGTTGACCAGGATGGTCTCTATCTCTTGACCTCATGATCTGCCCGCCTTGGCCTCCCAAAGTGCTGGGATTACAGGCTTGAGTCACTGCGCCGGACCTGAATTTGTCTATACCTTATAGTAGTAGGGCACCCTTACTTTTAGAATGTGTGTTAGCCATACCTATACTTACTTCTTCTTTCTCTTGTGCTTCAATGGGAAGACTTCCTGTTTCTTGTTCTAAAAAATTAAGATTGTTAAACTTGGCCGGGTGCAGTGGCTCAAGCCTGTAATCCCAGCACTTTGGGAGGCCGAGACGCGTGGATCACGAGGTCAGAAGATCGAGACCATCCTGGCTAACACAGTGAAACCCTGTCTCTACTAAAAAATACAAAAAACTAGCTGGGCGAGGTGGCGGGCGCCTGTAGTCCCAGCTACTCGGGAGGCTGAGGCAGGAGAATGGCGTGAACCCAGGAGGTGGAGCTTGCAGTGAGCTGAGATCGCGCCACTGCACTCCAGCCTGGGCGACAGAGCGAGACTCCGTCTCAAAAAAAAAAAAAAAAAAAAAAAAAAAAGATTGTTAAACTTTATTTTACCATTTCAAAATGGGGGCCTCTTCATTCATGTAGAGGCTTCCTCATCTGTGGAAATGTCGGGATGTTGCATCTAAAACTTTTAAAAAGTCACTTAGTTCCATATTGTGCTTTTGAAGTTGTTTTGTGTCACTTAGTGACAGAGACAAAAGGAAGGAATATAAGAGGGAAGAAATAATTGAATTGGTAAGTATTGATAATAGCTAGCATTGTTTGTATCGTTCACATATAACAGGAAAACTGTTCTAAAAAGCATTCTGGCTATACTTAGGTCCAATCTGGAGACTGGAAAT